ATGAATCTCAAAAGCATCATGCTAAGTGAAAGAAGCCAGACATGAAAGAAGATATACTATATAATTATATTTATATGAAAGTCTAGAAAAGGCAAATCTATAATGATAGAAAGCAGTTCAGCGGTTGCCAGGAGCCAGGATGTGGAGTCAGCACTGACTGCAAAGGGACAAAACAAAACTTTTAGGAATAATGGAAATATTCCACAGCAAATGCAGTTTGTCAAAACTCAGTGAAACTACCATAAAATCACTAATTTTTAAAAAACTGAAGTATAGTTAATATACAATATTATGTTAGTTTCACGTATACAACATAGTGATTAAATATTTTTATAGATTATACTCCATTTAAAGTTATTACAAAAGAATGGCTCTGTTTCCCTGCGCTGTACACCCTTGTTACTTATTTATTTTATACACAGTAGTTTGTATCTCTTAATCCCTCACCCCTATCCTGCCCCTCCTTCCTCCCTCTCCCCACTGGTAAACACTATTTTGTTCTCTATGTCTGTGAGTCTGTTTCTGCTTTGTTGCATACATTTGTTTGTTTTATAAAATAGCTAATTTTTATTGAATGTAAATAATAACAATAAAGCTGATTAAAAGAAATCAGTAAAGACACAAACAGGTCATTAACAAAATACGAAATTCAAGTGACAGAGTTTTAAAAATTTAACGATACTAGTAAACAAACAATACACTACGTACTATCATTTTTTAACTGTTTAATTGACTTTAAAATGTAAAAAATGATTACAGTTTCCAGTGAAGAGTACCTGAAGTGAGCATTCTTACACACTGCTGGTGGGAGAGTACAAAGGTACAACTTCCTGAGAACATAGAAATGTGTTTCAACAGCCTTAATATTTAGATCCTTTGATCAAGTAATTTGAATTCTAATAATTTATCCCGAGGAAACAACCAGGATGGTGCAAAAAAATTATGAACATAACACTATTTATAGATGCTGACTGAATTATGTTCCTTTCATAGGATGGGATATTATTCAGTCATTTAAAATACATGTGCAGGGCTTCCCTGGTGGCGCAGTGGTTAAGGATCTGCCTGCCAATGCAGGGGACACGGGCTCGAACCCTGGTCCAGGAAGATCCCACATGCCGTGGTGCAACTAAGCCTGTGCGCCACAACTACCAAGCCTGCACTCTAGAGCCCACGAGCCACAACTACTGAGCCCATGTGCCACAACTACTGAAGCCCACATGCCTAGAGTCCCCACACCGCAACAGAAGCCACTGCAATGAGAAGCTCGCACACCGCAACGAAGAGTAGCCCCAGCTCACCGCAACTAGAGAAAGCCTGCGCACAGCAACAAAGATCCAACTCAGCCAAAAACAAATAAATAAATTTGTTAAAAAAATAAAAAACAAAAAATAAAATACATGAGCATGCCCTCATCATCAAAAAATCTAGAAACAATAAATGCTGGAGAGGGTGTGGAGAAAAGGGAACACTCTTGCACTGCTGGTGGGAATGTGAATTGGTACAGCCACTATGGAGAACAGTATGGAGGTTCCTTAAAAAACTACAAATAGAACTACCATACAACCCAGCAATCCCACTACTGGGCATATATCCTGAGAAAACCATAATTCAAAAAGAGTCATGTACCAAAATGTTCACTGCAGCTCTATTTACATAGCCTGGAGATGGAAGCAACCTAAGTGTCCATCATCGGATGAATGGATAAAGAAGATGTGGCACATATATACAATGGAATATTGCTCAGCCATAAAAAGAAACGAAATTGAGATATTTGTAGTGAGGTGGATGGACCTAGAGTCTGTCATACAGAGTGAAGTAAGTCAGAAAGAGAAAGACAAATACCGTATGCTAACACATATATATGAAATTTAAGGAAAAAAAATGTCATGAAGAACCTAGGGGTAAGACAGGTATAAAGACACAGACCTACCAGAGAACGGACTTGAGGATACGGGGAGGCGGAAGGGTGAGCTGTGACAAAGCGAGAGAGAGGCATGGACATGTATACACTACTAAACATAAGGCAGATAGCTAGTGGGAAGCAGCCGCATAGCACAGGGATATCAGCTTGGTGCTTTGTGACCGCCTGGAGGGGTGGGATAGGGAGGGTGGGAGGGAGGGAGATGCAAGAGGGAAGAGACATAGGAACATATGTATATGTATAACTGATTCACTTTGTTACAAAGCAGAAACTAACATACCATTGTAAAGCAATTTTACCCCAATAAAGAGGTTAAAAATGAAATTGGCAAAGGACCCGGAACACCCAAAACAACTCTGAAAATGAAGAACAGAGTTGGAGGACTTGCACTATCTGATTTCAAGACTTAGTGCATATATGGGAAAAGAATCTGAAAAAGAATATATATAAAAATGTATAACTGAAGCACTTTGCTGTACATCTGAAACTAACACAACACTGTAAATCAACTATACTCCAATATATTGATGAAATTAAAATTAAGAAATAGACTTACTGTAATCAAGACAATGGAGTACTGGTGTAAAGACAGACATTTAGATTGATGAACAGAATAGAGAGAGTTCAGAAATAGACTTATACATGGTCAGTTGATTTTTGACAATGGTACCAAGAATTTCAATGAGGAAAGGATAATCTTTCATTAAATGACACTTGAACTTTTGGATATCCATATTAGTATGTACAAATATATGTATGTGTGTGTATGTATATATTTGTGTGTGTGTCTAAAAAATGAAACAGATCTTAGACGTATATTTAAGAGCTAAAACTATAAACTTTCTAGAAGAATCACAGGAGAAAATTTAGGGATCTTGAATTAGACAAAAATTTCTTAATAGGACACAAAAGCACAAACTATAAAAAGAAAAATCAGTTTCATCAAAAGTAAAAACTTTTGCTCTTTCAAAGGTACTGTTAAAAAAATAAAAAGGCAAGCCACACAATATCAGAAAATATTTGCAAAGATGTATCTTTGTGTGTAAAATACATGAAAGACATGTATTTTACAACTCAATAAGAACACAAAAAATCTGTATTTTTTAAATGGGCAAAGGATTTAAAGACACACTACAAAAGAAGATATAGGGATGACAAGTAAGTACATGAAAAGACATTCAACATCATTAGTTATTAGAGAAACACAAATGAAAACCACAATGAGATACCACTATATACCTAATAGAATAGCTAAAATTAACAAAACTGACAATACTAAGTATGGACCACAATATAGAGCAACTGGAACTTTTATCCATTATTGGCAGGATTGATTGCCACTTTGGAAAACATTTTGGCATTTGTTCATCAATGGGTAAATGGTTAAACTGAGATATCCATACAATTCACTACTACTCAGCAATTAAAAGGAATGAACTGTGGACACATGCAACAACATAGATGAATCTCAAAAGCATCATGCTAAGTGAAAGAAGCCAGACATGAAAGAAGATATACTATATAATTATATTTATATGAAAGTCTAGAAAAGGCAAATCTATAATGATAGAAAGCAGTTCAGCGGTTGCCAGGAGCCAGGATGTGGAGTCAGCACTGACTGCAAAGGGACAAAACAAAACTTTTAGGAATAATGGAAATATTCCACAGCAAATGCAGTTTGTCAAAACTCAGTGAAACTACCATAAAATCACTAATTTTTAAAAAACTGAAGTATAGTTAATATACAATATTATGTTAGTTTCACGTATACAACATAGTGATTAAATATTTTTATAGATTATACTCCATTTAAAGTTATTACAAAAGAATGGCTCTGTTTCCCTGCGCTGTACACCCTTGTTACTTATTTATTTTATACACAGTAGTTTGTATCTCTTAATCCCTCACCCCTATCCTGCCCCTCCTTCCTCCCTCTCCCCACTGGTAAACACTATTTTGTTCTCTATGTCTGTGAGTCTGTTTCTGCTTTGTTGCATACATTTGTTTGTTTTATAAAATAGCTAATTTTTATTGAATGTAAATAATAACAATAAAGCTGATTAAAAGAAATCAGTAAAGACACAAACAGGTCATTAACAAAATACGAAATTCAAGTGACAGAGTTTTAAAAATTTAACGATACTAGTAAACAAACAATACACTACGTACTATCATTTTTTAACTGTTTAATTGACTTTAAAATGTAAAAAATGATTACAGTTTCCAGTGAAGAGTACCTGAAGTGAGCATTCTTACACACTGCTGGTGGGAGAGTACAAAGGTACAACTTCCTGAGAACATAGAAATGTGTTTCAACAGCCTTAATATTTAGATCCTTTGATCAAGTAATTTGAATTCTAATAATTTATCCCGAGGAAACAACCAGGATGGTGCAAAAAAATTATGAACATAACACTATTTATAGATGCTGACTGAATTATGTTCCTTTCATAGGATGGGATATTATTCAGTCATTTAAAATACATGTGCAGGGCTTCCCTGGTGGCGCAGTGGTTAAGGATCTGCCTGCCAATGCAGGGGACACGGGCTCGAACCCTGGTCCAGGAAGATCCCACATGCCGTGGTGCAACTAAGCCTGTGCGCCACAACTACCAAGCCTGCACTCTAGAGCCCACGAGCCACAACTACTGAGCCCATGTGCCACAACTACTGAAGCCCACATGCCTAGAGTCCCCACACCGCAACAGAAGCCACTGCAATGAGAAGCTCGCACACCGCAACGAAGAGTAGCCCCAGCTCACCGCAACTAGAGAAAGCCTGCGCACAGCAACAAAGATCCAACTCAGCCAAAAACAAATAAATAAATTTGTTAAAAAAATAAAAAACAAAAAATAAAATACATGAGCATGCCCTCCCCACCCCCCACCAACAAATCCACAGACACACACACACACACACATTCACAATATTCTCCTCGGTGTAAGAAGCAACCAGTACCACCTAAGTAATTACTACTAAAAGCCCTTTACTGACAAAAAAGGAAGCCTAGGATTTCAGATAAGTAAAGTAGATATATATCCACGACAATGTCACAAAAAGTGATGTTACTCTATACCTTTATATCACCGTCAATTTTTTCCCATTCTTCTGCTGTGAAACTGGCTGCTGTCGCTGCAGGTTTCTCTCTCCTCAAAGCTCTACTTCCAGGAGCCAAGCCTGAAAGGCGCTTTTCACAAAATTCAGTAAGTTCAGGATAATATCCTTCCTCACCAGACCTTTTAAAAAATTCAGAATTTTAGAGTTACCACTTCATTTAGAGATCATATAGACCAGTGGTTTGCAAGCTGGGTTCCATGGAGCCCAGGGGCTCCACAGAGATCTCACAGTCTGCCCCAAACGAGGATGAAGCCTGAGCTGCTGCCTTCCCCTCACCGCCCTCAATTAGAGCAACCTCCACTTTCACATGCTAATCTATGGAGTACTGCGATGAAGGGGGGAAGAAAAGGAGCTCCAAAGACATCAATTTCCATCACACACTTTAAAAGTTGAATAGGTAACATTTTCTCTCCTCTTTAGCACACATATGTTCATTTTGCATATAAGGTAATTTTAAACTTATAAATGGAAATTCATTATTAGAGACAGGCAAAGAGTGAGACTTTGGACTTACTTTCCAATGAGGAGTTACTGTTCTAGCTCATTTTTCCCTCCCAAAGGGATAGGAAGAAAATGGCAGAGGAACAGTTTAGAACAACACACCTCTAAATTCAACCACTCAAGGTACAGAATTCCTTCCTTAGAGAGTTAAACAGAGACATGTGTTCTTTTTTTGCTTTTTTTTTTTTTAAGGAAAATCAATCTTTTCCCCGTTTCTTGTGAATCTGTTTACTTCTAAAGTTTTAGAAAAATAAAAATAAAACCCATTTTCAAATTAAATTAAAAAAATAATCCCAAGTCAATACAATACAATTTAATTAGACTATTCATAAAATGTCTTTCAAACTCTTTCATCCCATAAACTTCGCATTTTCTTTTAGTCTTTAATCAAATAAAAATGAAAACGTTCTTGTATGTTGAGAAAAACTAGAGGGAAAACAATGATATGATGAGGCTATTACATCAACACTGGCTGGGGACAAGCAGGGATGCTTAGGAAGGACAGGAGGCTAAAGGTGATAAGAAAGAAAAAGGAAAAAAAAAGAAAGAAAAAGGAAAGGACACAGCAGTAAGGAAAGGCATCAGAGGAAAGAAAAGAGAGAACCACTGCTGAGCAAAAGGACTACTACTGATGTCCCGGAAATGGGCAGTTTGTGCTCACAAGTGCTTCTGCAGCAATGAGGCGATCCTCCAAATGAAAAACCCTCAAGAAACCCCAAACAGGTGGCACAGGTTGGTAGGCCACAGGGCAATGTTTCTTGTAGAGTTCCCTTGACCACCCGCATGCTGATCAGCCAGTGTGCTTGTTAAAAACCCATGTTCCTGGGCTCCACTCATGATTTCCTGAAGCAGAATCTCTAGGAGTGGGGCCCTCAAATTTGCATTTTCTAACCACCATGTTTGGCAAATATTAAAGTTTGACAGTCACAGCCACAGGGCTCTTACCCAGAAAAGGCCTTGATTCCCTGACTTCTGGCGTCCCCCCCCCCCATCCCCCATGCGACGGCTCCCAGTGAGTCACCCACCTTTGCTGGCAGATAGTGTGAAGTGGGAGAGTGCCAAAGCACTTTATCAGCATAAGCAGATGCCTACTAACGGCTGCTTTACCGGTTCCTAGAAAGTGCCAGGAAGCAAGAAAAATGCCCTCTTGGATACTAATTAGCCTAAGTCTTGTGCTGGAAGTAGATCTAGCCAGAACCCGCCAAACTAACCACAGGATTGAAACCACTATTTTGGAACCTAACATGGACAAAAACAACAATTTCAATATTGGAAAATCTGCTCCAAAATTTCTAATGTAGCTTTGAATTTTAGAAGTCAACAATATAATTAAAATTGGCAAACTGAAACATGATATGATTTTTAAACGCTTACCTGAGCACACAAAGAATTTTTTCCAAGTGTTTAACATCTGAACATTTTTCAATATACTTGAAATCCAAATGTTCAACAGGTATTTTAAATGTTTTTGTTGTTCCAAAGCCCCACAATGATGGATAATCTTTGGCAGTCATGGCTGAAATATAGTGTAGGAAAATAGTTATGAATCTAATATATACATTAATACTCAATTTGGATAGTAGTAACCATCTAGGTACTTCTGTAATATTTATTTTTCACTTCTATAGAAAAGGAGATGGAGTATTTCTTCTAAGGAGGAAGCTACTCATTGTAAACTCTCTCTCCCTGATAAGAACAGTTAACATTCATGGGGCTAAATTACTATATACTGACTTCCCTGGTGGCGTGGTGGTGAAGAATCTGCCTGCCAATGGAATCTTGAAGCCCCTGAGATTTTATGATTTGAATAAAATATGGTGAAAAACATTTGAAATGATAAAGACACCTCTTACCTAATCAAGCGAATTTTATTTTGAACACTGTTTCAACGTTTCTGAGAATCCTTTTTGAAAACTACCACTTGGAGGGGTGGGGGTGGGTAGGAGAGACATTCTCAAGACCACTAAACGTTAACTCTCAAACTCCAAAAAACAAGGCATACAATACTTTGCTTGCTCTAGTTAGAACTCTTCCACATCTGTTTGCAATTTCTTTCTCTCTGATTAGAAAAACCTTTGGTCCTAATTGGCGTTAATTTCTTCTCCACCGTCCTAATCCACATCCATTTCCCATATTTCCTAATCAGTATATCAGTAATACCTCCAGCACAAACTGCAATGGGCCAGTAACACGAAAAATGGTTTTCTTCCACCTAGGCACATTCTTTCCAGCATCCACAGGGCTGGGCGCCACCTGCAGCCAGAGACCGAAAGGAAACGGCATCCTCCAGCAGTAGCAACGGTTTCTATGTACAGCGCGGGTCAGGGACTGCCTGAGATCCGGGAGCTCTACAGCCAACCCGCAACGGTCAAGGGGCACTTGAGGACTCTACGAAACTTCTCCCCATTCCTCTGCTTTGTTCACAAGGACCGGTGGCCGCCGCCAGAGCCTGGGAACCTCCCCGCCGCACCACCACCTCCGCGTTGCCTCTCTGCCCCAACATCCGCCACCGTCAGCCCCGAGAAACAGAAGGCCCCCAGGTTGTTGCCCCGGCCGACAAGGTTGTTCATCCCTCCAACTGCAGTCCGGTAGTGCATTTGCTCCTCCGGGTCCGTCTTCCACCCCGGCTCCCAGAGGAAGGGATTGCGATGGAGAGACGTAGTTTACTCCTGGTCTGCAGCTACTCACCCGGTTCAGACCCGAAGCCTTTCGGAAGCCGCAGCCGCACACCACCAGCCGCGCGGCTCGTAACCAAGGAGGGGCGTGCCGCCCCGCCCCACTCACCCCACTCCGGCACCCGAGGGCTTGCGGCGGACCGCCGGGGGCGGGGATTAGGGCCTCTGCGTGATGACAGGCTAGTTTCCGGTTTTGCCATCCGGCTGATTGGCCTTGCAAACCCAGCTTCACCCGGACAGAAGAACGTTAGCCGAGAAATAAGAGTTGCAATTCCACGTGCCCTGTAATTTTCTTTTCACGCACATTTTGGTTTTTTTCTAGTTACAGTTATGTACATATACAATTATGCTGAATAAACAAGCAGGATAAAAACTAACTCTAAGGAAACGGACTATGCAGGCAAATGAAAATTACCACTATCGTTTCATAAAGACATTGCGTCCAATAATAGATGCATTAGAAAGTAAAGTTGAAGAAATCTTTCACAGAGCAGATAAAAAAAGGAAATCGAAAAAGATGAAAAAGTTAGGTCTAATATTAGATTTAAAAGATCTAGAGAGAATACTGAGGGTAGGAAGTTATCAAGAAAATTTTCCAGAATTGAAGAGCTTGAGTTTCCAGACTGAAAGCACCCACCAAGTGACCAAAACAGCAAAGGAAAACAGACCCACACCAAGGCACAAACTGCAAAATTTCAGGACACTGGCAAAGAAAATTCTAAGTTTCTAGAGCGAAAACAGGTCACATACAAAGCATTAGGAAGAATAGTTTTGGAGTTCTCCACAATAATACAGAAAACTAGATGACATTCTGACACTGGGGAAGAACACAAGACAGGTCATTTCAGGCAGAGAGAAAAGCAGGAGCACAGGCAAAAAGGTCCGTTATCTGCTTAAGGAACTGCAAACATCTCCTTAAAACCAAGATTGAGAGGTGGGTTGAAGTGGTGACAGAGGCCGGAAAGGAGTCTATACTATTCCCAAATACACTATTCCCAATAGTTTTCGTTTTATCCAAATGGGAAGCTACTAAGAATTTTCAGCAAGACAGTGCTGTGCAATTTCTATTTTACAATGAGCAAGCTGGGAATTCCCTAGTGGTCCAGTGGTTAGGACTCTACAATGAGCAAGCTAAAGAGTATGGAAAACAGCAAGACCACAGTAACTGAGACTAATCCTAAGGCTGATACAAGCACCTGTGCAGAAAATGCTAATACTTTCTGTAATGGTGTTAACAGTTAACATTTATTAGATTAAGAGTTTTTATGGAGTATTTATCTTGCAGCAAACCTTTGACATAGGTGCTATGATTTCATGCCCATTTTACAAATAAAGAAAGTGAATCTTGGTAGTCACTGGCATAGAACAAGGGACACTCTGGGAATACGGACCCAAAGCCTTTTGCCGAAGTCCATACTATTTATTGTGCTCCTAAGTACTAACCAATTCACAAGTAAGTCCTATTCAACTTCAAAACATATCTCACAACCAGCTACTTCTCACTCCCTCTACGCCTATCCTGGCCCAGCCACCCTTACTCTTAGCCTGAACTTTTACAGGTGGCCCCTAACTGGCTTCCCACCACCCCGTCCCTATATTGTCCGTTCCCACAGAACAGACCCAGTAAACTTTTAAGTCTGGGCAGAGGGTGGAGGGTGGAGGGTGGATGGATGTGCATGTATTTGTACATGTAAGGAGGCAAATTGTTTTTATGTGTTCTCAGTTTACACTTTCTCACTTTATGTGATATTTTAATCTTCTTAAAATTGGTCATTTATGATTTCATCTACCAGTTTTGAATGTCATTAACTTCAATCTCTGAAGATAGCTTCAGAGTCTAAAAGCACTGAACTATCATTAATTCCTTGACTTTGACAAGCTGAAGTCAAAAGAAATAAACTGGCCAGTAATTAAGTAGCAGCACTGGATTTGAACCAATTTCCATGTATTGATATTTTTGATGGACCTGCGTGTCTACAGCCATTGGTAAGCAGTTTAGTAGGGGACAAGTTATGTATTAGCTTCAAGCTCAGATTTACTGATTTTTATATTTATAGAGTACTATTCAAAAGGATCTTTTAAAAGCAATTTTATATCTATTTTACCTTTTCTTAAAACTGTCCAGGTAGACAAGAGATAAAATTACTTCCATTTTATAGATGATGGGGACACGAAGAGGTAACCAACTGAAACGATGGTCTTGAGTTCCAGTGGTTAATACTTTTCCCATTAAACCACTGTCTAGTTAACCAAATAACAGTATTCAATTAAACTACTGATACACAAAGGACCTATGATGAAACTAGAATAGTTAAGAGCAACATTACCCAATGAGCTGTGGTTTAGGAGGCTGTCATAAAGAGATATTTATTGGGACTCTTGTACAAAAAGGACCAGCTCAAGAAGGAACATGGCAGGGCTTCCCTGGTGGCGCAGTGGTTGAGAGTCTGCCTGCCGATGCAGGGGACATGGGTTTGTGCCCCGGTCTGGGAAGATCCCATGTGCCGTGGAGTGGCTGGGCCCGTGAGCCATGGCCGCTGAGCCTGCGTGTCCGGAGCCAGTGCTCCGCAACGGGAGAGGCCACAACAGTGACAAGGCCCGTGTAGCACAAAAAAAAAAAAGGAACATGGCAGAATTACAAAATTATGAAAGCCACAGTCCAGGAAAACCTGGACCAAAGAAGCACTCTTTAAAAATCTTGAGTATGGTAGTACTTTGTATAGCACATAATAAACTTACAGAACTTAATATTTGAGGATGGTAGTAGAAACAATGTTTTGTTTTCTTTTTTAAACGGCACAGTTGCACAGTTAATACTTTCAATGTGCGAGACACACAAAACTATTAACAAAGTTGAAATGTATCTAATCGAATCCTGGAACAGATGGAGTATCTGAGCATCCATATCCCTAAGATCAAGGCAAAAGCTTTAAACATTCATCCAATTTAGTGTAAACCAACTCCTATTTTTTCTATATCCTGAAAGCAGAGTTTTTTACCTTAATGAATGATTACACCTGGGAAACTGCACCTGTCTTAATAGTCTGCTTCATCCACTTTACTTGGGGTTGATTTTGCCTTAGAGAAAGCAACCATTAAAGTTTCTTTTCCCTTGCCGAAGATTTAAAAAACAGTCAAGCATTATATACAAATACAGAAAGGCCTATGCCAAGTTAACAAATAAATTATAACTCAAAGTGAGGTATGCACACTGACAGTTAAGTGTGTTGGTATACTCTATACAAAATGAGGCTGGAGAGTTTACAAACAATTGGTGATGTAAAACAGTGGTTTCCTAGGAACTTACTTAATCAGACCTTTAAAGGGCCCTAGCAAACTTCATTTTTAACAAGGGCCCCAGATGATTCTAGGTTTTGACTAAAGTGTAGTTTGGGGAAGCACTTTTAACCTTCATTGTGTGTCAGATTACATATACGATAAAATTAAATTACAAACCATGTAACTGAACAAAAATATCTTTATATAAGCTATTAATAGATACCTAAATACAATATGGTTTTTAAAATGAAATCGTGTATATAGTTGTATTCATAAAGTACACTAATCAAAAGCTATACGACAACATTAATAGCAAATCCAAATCCAAGTGAAGACATTCCTCTGTATTTCATCTTTCATCGAGCATCAAAAACCACCACTATACAAAAACTGAGTTAAGGATAAAAAAAGTACTTCAAAATTATATTAAAAATTTAATACTTCCAAGTCACTTTCTCTTTGCAATAAGCTATTTAATCTAAAATGCACAAAAGAATGAAGTTCACTATTTACTATAATTAGAAATGAACTAAAAAAATAAACTATTTTAATTATTAGCACCCCCATGATACAAAAGACCAATGCACCAAGAAACACTAAAGCAGTGTTAAAAGTGATAATTTAGTGATCTAAAAAACTCTGGTAGTTATTACATAAAAATTTACTCTCAGTCTTTCAGCTAATTTGTAAGCCTCACTTATTCCATTAGGTAGAATACAAACTCAATATTTGTACTTCTCCTTGTATCATTTAGTTTGCCCACAAACTGAAGCTCAAGAATGAGTACTGATATACAGAATCCCTGAAAAAATACACTTATGAAAGCCAAAATCAACTAGTATTTAGATTATTTAGTATATGACTATACACTGGAGTACTGGTCCATGAAAATGCTAATCATGCCTTTTGTTTTTTTGGTAAGTAATCCAAGTTGTTACCATTTTTACCAGAAATTAGTCTTTTAGACTATCAAACCATGCATTATTTTTCACTTCCTCTTATCTCATATTCATAAAGCTTAGTTAGAAGGATACGTCTTTTAGTCCTTTTCTTGTACATTATTCTGTATCCACATTCTCTGCAACGGATTGGATCCCTTGATTTTATTTCATTTTCTGTGTGACATTCTAGAAACAAAACATGTTTATTCAATGCCTAAAAGAGAAATATTACAGACGAGCAAATTATCTTAACCATACTTTTCACCCAAAGCACTAAAATACAGTATACTCAATCTCAAGGGTATGTTGCCATTACCAACATATTAAGGGAGAAAGAAAAAAAGAGTGGCGGACAATGCAGTTTTCCTAGGAAAGAAAATGAAATCTTAATAAGAGGATTTTTTTTAAGATTGTTAAAGTTGTTCTGCTTTCTAACTTTAAAGGTGACTCATTTAAGCCAAAGATAAATACAATATGTTTTTAAAAACTGAGGTGAAATACTCTCACTTTTGTAAGTGTTACTCTTACCTCCACAGATATATATCATTGGCTGCTGCTTTGGGGGTTGAACGTCCTTCTGGGTGTCCATTGTTGTCCCTGAAATCACAGACTCAAATATTTAGTATCTCAAATGGCGTCCTCACAAATCTAACCAGGCCTCATTTTTCTCGGAGAAAGCTAAAAAGGTCCCAATTCCTAATCTGTACTTTTTTCAAATCCTATAGGTGGGTCTAAAGAACGAAACAAAAAAACAACGTATTGTGCATTTACCCCCAAACTGGACATAATAATCAACACTTTACATATGTCATTTCAATTATGCATGCTATTTCATTATAATCTTTACAACAATTCTAGGAGGTATTACTCTTATTTTACAGATGAAGGAACTGGGGTTTAAATAAATTAATTTGGGCAGGATTATTCATCTGTTAAGAGTCAGAGATTTAGATTTGACTGCAAAGCTCGCGTCTTCATTTAACACAAGTTCCATTTTTCCAAACTTTAGCAAGGGATTGCCAAAACACTGTATCCCTCAACAGGAGAACATGCGAACCGAAGATAAGGGAAGAACAAAGAAATAACTCCCAACGGCTAAAACGCCAACAGCTAAACAGGCAAACAACCCAACAGCTAAAGAGGCAAAGGCCTAACAGCATCGACTCTATCCCCAGCCTCTCCCGACTCTAACCCCACACCGGACCTGTTTAGCCCCTAGCGCCTTTCCAGTTTTGGCCCAAATACCGACCCCCCAACCCGCCAATTACCTACCCTCGTAACACGGAGAAGCTTCCCTGCTTTCCCGAACAGATTCCACCTCGCCGCTGTATGGCAGCCAACTTCCGGCGCTGGCTTATGACGCAAGCGGAGTCTCCGCCCCTTTCGCCCCAGGTGTGGCAGAGAAAGCCGGATTGAGCACAGGTGGTGAAGCTGGGTTTTTTTTGTATTTCAGACTCTGGACAAAAGTGCTTGTTTCGGTCTCACCTGTTTTCACTTTTCAGGGAAGTAAAGCGTTTTAGAAGCTCCTCAAGTCGAAGGAGGTTTGTTTCTCTGACATATGAAGTCGGTAGAAAGTAACACTTTTCCAGGAGGGCGGAGGGTTAGAAGAGAAACCCAAGTGAAGTGCTCGTGGAATCCTAGGCTGACCGTTACTCCGAGGAACGTAGAAGAATCGGCTCCACCGCTGATTTTCACGTAGAAAAGCACTTTTCAGATTATGCATTTCCAGTCGTTTGATACCTGTGCTGGGGCAGTGGAGCAGCCGCCCCTATCCTTAGAATAATTTCGTTTTTGCTTTTCGCCCCTTTCTCTCCTAGGCTCCCGTCATCCCTATAACCCCCTCCTTTTACTCGTTTTAAAGCACAGGTGGGCTTGCGGGCAGCTACGTCAATTACTCCCACTTAAAGCTAAGGGATTTAGGTAGTGGTAGCTGTCCATTGACCCTCCTTTCATCCCATGTATTAATTCCCCCCCAGAAGAACAAAACGACTTGTCCAGTGGAGGCGTGTTCTTTCAAAGATCAAAATTTTAGTGAGACTAGTAACAGTTGGGTTCACAACATTTGCATTCGTTTGCTTCTTTCACAGCAGGTTACTTATATCACGAGAGAGAAGAAAATGAAGTTATTAAAATTTAGAAAATAACCAGTTGTTAGTAACTATTTTAGTTAATCTGAGAAGCAGGTTTCTTTCTCCCCAACATGCACTACTTTGATTTTTATTAAGCAGGCTATACTGCTTTTCGGTCTTCCATCCAGCAACTTGGGAACCTTGTGCCTCCCCTTTCACTTCCAGAAGGAATTCCAACTGGTTGCACCTCCACAGACCAGCCTGAGAGATTTAACTCGATTTTCTCAGTCTTCCTAGCTGCTGATTTTTAAATTTCCAGGAAACACAGTGGACTGTCCTGCTTCTTTCTCCACAGATAGGCTAAGATAGAACATAAATATTTTGATCATCAGCTCTCTTACGAAATACCCCTCCTCTTAGCCAAAGGGAAGAGGTAATCCAATAGAACAGTCAAAATGAGCTTCACTCAAGAAATATTAGGTAAAACCATTGTCATGATAAGAGAAAGATTATGGAGTGATCCAGAAAGTGTAACTTTAATCAATGCAAACTGACCTGGGTTCTGACTATGCAGCTTGAGGTTATCAAGATGATGCTGGCACATAACACAGTTTGTGGAGATCAGAATGGATCAACACATGTAGAATACAAATGGGTCCTGGAACCCTACAGAGGGTTAGGGTAAAGACAAGTTATAGCAAGGAGATCCAGAATTTCAACAAGAGTTCATGTCGAGGCTAGTTCCCAGTGCAACATTCTCTTTCCTATCAGCAGGAACCAGTAATTTTAGGATCATTTTGGAGCATGGTCTGTGGAAGCTGTTATCAATGGTGATAGCTAACTTTTCTTGAGCATTTGCTATGTGCCAGACATCATCGCATTGCTCTCTCTTAATGAGGGCATTTGTTTTGCCAACTTGGATACTAGTGTTTTTAAATGCTTACATTGCAATAATATGGTTATGGAGATGCAAGCTGCTAATTTTTCCCCTGAGTATCTGTTTTCCTTTTTCTTGATCATACTCATTTAAGTATACCTGCATAGCTTGACTATTATGGTGATGGAAAACCCTTTCATTATGTTTTCCTGGATGGTCTCCAAAAGAAGCGTTAGCTCTGTGGAAAACATATGGGTTTTAGAATCCTGAGGTCAGTAATGAGATTACACCCAATCCAGAAAGGGAAGGGAAAAGGCCAAAGACTGTGATGTGTAAAAAATAGGAAAATATAGCTCAGTGGCTTAAATTTGCGGTATATGAGTAAAGCTAGGGCAAGCTACATGTAACTAGGTGTCTTTTTGCCATTTTTGGGGTGGGGAGGGGTGTAAAATTATTCTTCGAGTGAATAGAAGGGAATTATGATACATTCTTTTACTCTTCAGTTGTAACAAAATATCTAAAGAAAAATTACTGGAGAAAGAGAAAAGGGCAATGTTTAATGGTGTTTTGGGGTCGTGTGGCTTTTATTTAACCATAGGCAAAATCTCCTGCCCTGTTTACATTACAGTGGAGTGGGGAGCAGACCTTACACAAAGTAAGTAAATAATACAGTATTTTATAAGGTGATAAATTATATGGGGAAAATTCAGGAGAGGAGGATTGCAAGTGCTGGGCAGGGAGTGGCAAAATAGAGGCTTGATTGTAATAGAGACTGGTTTGAGGACCTAGAAAGGACACTACTCATTCTATCCGAATGTGTGCGGGAGGCTTCAGGGAGGTGCCATCTTGAAGAATGTGTAATTCACCAATTCCTTAAGTCCTATGGGTACCACAAACGTAACAACCTCGCACTAAGTTCATCTTATTTTCTCCCAAACCTGTACTCTTGGCTCCTCACCCCCTGCTGCATGCAGTTCATTCTGCCAACTGACTCAGGTGTAGGTTCTTCTCCACCCCCATTATCTTCCAGAGTAATGCAGTAGCTTCCTAAGCCACCCTCACCTCTCTTCCTTCTGTCTTCCATCCTGCCACCAGAGTGGTCCTTCTAAAATGTCCTACATTGCCTGGGACTTCCCTGGGGGTGCAGCGGTTAACAATCCGCCTGCCAGTAGGGGACAGGGGTTCGAGCCCTGGTCCGGGAAGATCCCACATGTTACAGAGCAGCTAAGCCCGTGCGCCACAACTACTGAGTCTGCGCTCTAGAGCCCACGAGCCACAACTACTGAGCCCGCGTGTCTAGAGCCTGTGCTCTGCAACAAGAGAAGCCACCGCAATGAGAAGCCTGCGCACTGCAACGAAAAGTAGCCCCCACTCACCGCAACTAGAGAAAGCTCGCGCGTAGGATAAACTTCAGACTCTTAACGTGCATACAAAACTCTCCACGGCTTGGCTTCTTCCCCTTGTCAATAATTTTCTTTGCCCTTTCCTCAAACCAGTCTTAGTTTCCAGCTGTAACAAATTATTTGTAGTTTCTCTAATGTGCCCAACTGTTTCAATTTTCCTGCTGGTACATTTTGTTTCAAGTTTAGAATCACCCGTTATCTGTCTTTAAAGATGCTACCCTTCCTTCAAAATCCACCTCATATCACAGTCTATATAAAGGTAGCTCTGCCCACTCTTCCGCTGTAGATTAAAAATAACGTAGGAAAACATTCACTTGAAAATGTTTCCGGAGATGAAATCAAGCGTGAAAAGCAGGTTACAAACCGAATGACTCATTTTAGGTTAGAAGTACAGCTATACACAGGATAAAGTCTGAAAGGTTTGACTAACTTGGTTACAGCATCTCTAGACATCATTATGCTTGTTTTTTTAGGCATCTAAAAAGGGATGTTTTATGTGCCAGACTCCATCCTTCTGCTGGATTTAGTTGATCGCTGTAGATTTAGTTGATCCCTTTTCTTTTGTGTTACTACCATTCCTCTACTATAGCACTTACACCAGTGAGCCCTTCAGGGCAGTAACTGCGCTATTCCATCTTTGTATTCCCAGTACCTAGCCCAATAATTGGCACATAGAGCTTAATCATTGTTAGTGAGTTTGATTTTGGATATATGGCATTTAGGATAACTGTGGGGCATCCAGATGGAGAAATGTTCTGTCGGAGGAGAGTGGTAGCAGTGGCTGTTACTGGCTTTAAAGTAATGCTTTTAACTCTGAATGAGACTTACGTAAGCACAGAATGGTAAAGTAAGAAAAATGTTGGGTAGGACGCCCATTTAGGGAGTAAGCAGAGGAAAAGAAGCCAGAAAAAAAGAGATTAGGAAGAAGTTGCCAAGAGCAGAAGGATGGAGCCTGGCACATAAAACATCCCTTTTTAGATGCCTAAAAAAACAAGCATAATGATGTCTAGAGATGCTGTAACCAAGTTAGTCAAACCTTTCAGACTTTATCCTGTGTATAGCTGTACTTCTAACCTAAAATGAGTCATTCGGTTTGTAACCTGCTTTTCACGCTTGATTTCATCTCCGGAAACATTTTCAAGTGAATGTTTTCCTACGTTATTTTTAATAGCATCCCACTGTAGGACCTATTAACCTTTCTATACAGTGTTCCCCAAAGTTAAAATGAGGAGGGGAAGAG